AATAACAGACAGGTGAGGAGTTGTTTGCACATGAAAAATAAAATTCTTAAAATTGTTTATCTTGGCTTACAGAGCTCGTGAAGGTATAAAAATCATCAATTCCTTGCCCTACAACACCTTTAGCACGGTCTTGCAATATGTACACCGACAAATGCTTAATAGCAATGCGGGCGGTGATTCCTCTGAGGAGGGTCTTACCTCATCGGCAGAAAATGAAAACGCCTTGGAAGAACTTGAACGTTTAGTGGGTGTACCCCGGCCCGATTTTCTGCTATTGATTAAAACATTTTCCTATATTTTAAGACGTACCAGCACTTACATCATTAAACCCTCGCTGCTGCAAGCCGAATTACGTGACAAACTGCAGCTGCAAGATGAGGCCAAAATCGATGCCATCGTACGTTTGTGGGTACGACAAACCACACCCATTATGAATAACTTAGCTAGTGATCGTTATGAATCGAATGAAATTGCCGATGTGGCCTGGAAGTTAAACGTCGAGATATCTTCTCAATGTCAACAACGTGAAAAATCGGCTTTGGCTGTTTTGCAGCTGAAAACTGGTGCCGGAGAGGATATAAATTTAGAAATGAATCATGAAGAATTGTTGCAATTGTATCAACAATTTGAGTGCATACAAAACGAATTGGACGCCATGAATGCTCAGCCCAAATCAGGGGCAAAAAGTCAAAATTAGACTAAAAAAATATTATTATGTGTTAAAATTATTATATTGGAAATGAGGTTGTTGTTTACATTACCCTAGAAGTATTGTTAAGATGAAAAAAGTATAATTTTTTTTTGTTACTTTTAAGGCATATTTATGAAAAATTAGTAAAAAGAAACAAGTTGGGAATTATATAAAGAAAAGTATTGATACTAAACAAATAACAATAGTTTTTTAATAAATAGAAATATTTTGTTTAAAGTTTGGATCAGTTAGTACAATAGATCATTCCAAAAATCAATCTGTAGTCTGGACTATAGATTTGTCTATAGTTTGGACAATAGATTGGTGTATAGTCAGGACTATAGAATTGTTTATTCTGGACTATAGATTAGTCTATAGTCTGGACTATAGATTAGTCTATAGTGTGATCGTTAGATCTGTCTATATTTCGGTCTTTAGATAAGTCTATTGTCTGGACTATAGATCAATCTATAGTCAGGACCATATAGATCAGTCTATAGTTTGGTCCATATATCAGTTTATAGTTTAGTACATGGATCAGTCCATAAACTATAGTTTGGTCCATGGATCAGTCTATAGTCTGGTTTATAGATCAGTCTATACTCTTGTCTATAGTTTGGTCTTTAGATAAGTCTATAGTCCTATCTATAGTCTGGTCTATAGATCAGTCTATAGTCTGGACTATAAATTAATCTGGATTATAAATCAATCCATAATCTGGATTGATCAGTCTATAACATGGAGGAGAGCGAGGCGGAACAGAGAGGAGGCGAGAGGCGGGAGAAGAGAGGACGCGAGAGACGGGACGAGAGAGGAGGCGGGAGACGGAGCGGGAGAGAGGAGGGAGGAGAGAGGAGGAGAGAGGCGAAAGGGCGCGAGAGGGGAGAGAGCGAGCGAGCGAGCGAGAGCGAGCGGGCGAGCAGCGAGCGAGCGAGCGAAGCGAGCGAGCGAGCGAGCGAGCGAGCGAGCGAGCGAGCGAGCGAGCGAGCGAGCGAGCGAGCGAGCGAGCGAGCGAGCGAGAGCGAGCGAGCGAGCGAGCGAGGAGCGAGCGAGCGAGCGAGCGAGCGGCGAGCGAGCGAGCGGGCGAGCGAGCGAGCGACGAGCGAGCGAGCGAGCGAGCAGCGAGCGAGCGAGCGACGAGCGAGCGAGCGAGCGAGCGAGCGAGCGAGCGAGCGAGCGAGCGAGCGAGCCGAGCGACCGACCGACCGACCGAGCGAGCGAGCGAGCGAGCGAGCGAGCGAGCGAGCGAGCGAAGCGAGCGAGCGAGCGAGCGAGCGAGCAGGAGCGAGCGAGCGAGCGAGCGAGCGAGCGAGCGAGCGAGCGAGCGAGCGAGCGAGCGAGCGAGCGAGCGAGCGAGCGAGCGAGCGAGCAGCGACGAGCGAGAGAGCGAGCGAGCGAGCGAGCGAGCAGCGAGCGAGCGAGCGAGCGAGCGAGCGAGCGAGCGAGAGCGAGCGAGCGAGCGAGCGAAGCGAGGAGCGAGGAGCGAGCTGACGCGAGCTAGCGAGCGAGCTAGCTAGCGCGTCGAGCGAGCGAGCGGAGCGAGCGATCGAGCTAGGACCGCAGCGAGCGAGCGGAGCGAGCGAGCGAGCGATCTAATCTAGCACTAGCGAGGAGCGAGCCGAGCGAGCTTAGCTAAGAGCGTATCTAGCGAGATAGATATGCTAGCTATCTATCTATCTATCTACATCTATCCTACTCTATCTATCTATCTATCTATATATTTATAGCTATCTATCTATCTATCTATCTATCTATCTATCTATATATTAGAGCCCTGCATGAGTAACTCTATTTGCTACACACAATGAGTGACTCATTGCTTTGCACTCAACTCATTGTTTGTTTCGAATCGTATTTACAAAGTTTTGTTATACTCAAACGTTGTGAGTACTATCAAGTGAATGTGCAACTACATTCAAATCGAGCGAGTAAACAATTTGTTTATGTTAAAACAATACAAATAGATTGTTTGAATCGAATGAATCGATTCAAACTTTTTCTTGAATAAATGGTGAAAATTTTGAATGCTGTTAAAACTAGTTCCTGTGGCCCGAATTCGCTGAAATTTGGTAGTCTTGAGTACAATTGATGACAAGATAATATTATGTTCGAATATTCGAAATTAAGTTCGAAAATTCGAAGTTATGTTCGAAAAATTTTTTATGCTTTTAAATTATTCTTTGAGTCCAAAAAACTAAAAAAAAAATTTTCGAAAATTCGAACTCATGTTCGAAAAAAATTTAAAGCTGATAAAACCAGTTTCCGTGGACCAAATTGGCTGAAATTTGGCAGTGTTAAGTACAGTTGATGACGCTACTATATTATCTTCGACTATTCGAAATTAAGTTCGAAATTCGAAGTAATATTCAAAAAATCTGTTAATTTGTCGAACTTAAAAATTGTTTTGCTTTCACTCGATTCACTCACTGTATACTACTTGAATTGAATCACACAAACACTTCATTACTTGTTTCGTTGAATGAGGAGGACTAACATTCCGATTTTCAAAGAGACGAGGCAGGGCAGGCAGAAAACAAGGAGGGAGGCAAACACAGGGGGGGAAAAAAAGCAAAGGGGGGAAGAGGAGGGAAGGCACGCAGGCAGGGCGCGCGCGAGCGAGCGACGAGCGAGCGAGCGAGAGAGCGAGCGAGCGAGCAAGAGAGCGAGCGAGAGAGAGCGAGCGAGCGAGCGAGCGAGCGAGCGAGCGAGAGAGCGAGCGAGCGAGCGAGCGAGCGAGCGAGCGAGCGAGCGAGCGAGCGAGCGAGCGAGCGAGCGAGCAAGAGAGCGAGCGAGCGAGCGAGCGAGCGAGCGAGCGAGCGAGCGAGCGAGCGAGCGAGCGAGAGCGAGCGAGCGAGAGAGCGAGCGAGCGAGCGAGCGATCGAGCGAGCGAGCGAGCGAGCGAGCGATCTATATCTATCTATCTATCTATCTATCTATCTAATCTATCTATCATCTATCTATCTATCTATCTATCTATCTATCTATCTATCTATCTTTCTATATAAAGAGTATCGGCCCATTACAGGAACATTCCGGAGTTCCAGTTTCACTAAAATACCAGAAATAACCTTATAATCAATTCGCCTTCGTTTAAATGACTTTACCCAGGCAAACTGATTATAACAATGTGAAATTTAACAAGGTGAAATCACTAGCCAAATCAGAAAAGTAAGGCGAATAAATTACGGGATAAATTTCTATTAATAAAATGGTTATCTACGGTTAGAATGACTTCAATTTTTCAAAAATATTACGAATTCGACCCACTTTTTAGATTTCGTTAGTAATTTTGCATTGACGATTTAAACTGCACCTTATAATCAATTCGCCTTGACAGATAGAGATTGATTAAACAGTTTGTGGAAGTTCACTGTGAATAACAGTGTTACCAATTTTGTTTTTTTTTTTTTTTGTAATCTCACCAGTCATCATGACACTTTCTTGATAGAGGACTGTAAATTAAAAGTCATTAAAAAGCCAAGGCAGTCATATTGTAAAATGACCAATTATTAGATTTGAATGGAAATTTATCAAAATTTAATTAATATTGATAAAAATTATCAATAATTGATTACAACTATGACAAATTTCATACAATTACTTAACATTATCAGATTATTTTAAACAAAATTTGGAAAATATATATATATTTTTTTTTTAATTTATGTTTTAGTTAATATATATTTTATATTTAATTATAAGCCTAAAATTAAAGAAATAATAAAAAAAAAAACTTTAAAAAATTAAAGCAAAAATATTAAAAGAAAAAAACTGAACTGATATTATTTATTAAAAAAAAAGTAAAAAAGAGAGGAAAAATAAAGTTTGAGAGAGAGAAAAAGAAATAAAACAACGAGCGAGATATTTTAATAATAATGAACGAACGTTTAAACGAACACCAACGAACGCATGAACGAACAACAACAAACGAGCTAGCACAACAGCTGATTGATTGGTTGATTGAATGATGGAGTTTTGTTGAAAAATGGTGAATATTTCTATTGAAAAAGAAAAACCAACAAAAAACGTAAGAAAAAAATGGTGAATTCGAAAAAACAATCATCGATGAAAAGGCGATGATATGAGAGAAATAGAGCGAGCAATTTAAAAAATTGTTTTCAGCTAGCAGCAGCTACTTTTGGCTATTTATTATTTTATAAAATGCTTTAATTATGACATGAAAGTGAGCAAAATATACTAACAAAAACATTAATGGTTTAGAACGATTCGAGAGAGAGAAAAGAAAAAACAACATAGGAGGGAAGGATTTGAATTGTAATTGATTGAAAACGTTTTTTGTTTTGTTTTTATTAAAAATTTGTTTAGCGATAAAAGCTAAAATTATGAAGCTCACCCTTTACTTTAGATAATTCTTGATTACTATGCGTAGAACCCGAGCTAATGGTTGATGTCATGCCGACACCGCCACCACCGAAAGCCACTCCCGAAACAATGCCTGGTGGTGGTAGTAGACCCGGTGTAGAGGAAGAAGCAAATATGGGAGCTGATGTGGCCACAGCTGCACCCGGAGCATTAGGCGGCATATTATATGATGGTGGAGCGGGCATTTGATTGTATTGCTGGAAGGGATTTTGATACAATGTAGTGGTAGTCTGTACGGGCTGTTGACCGCCCATGGGCCCGGTATGCGAAGGAAATGATACCATGGTATTATACTGGGAGTATTGTTGCTGTTGTTGCTGAGTTGGTGGATATTGTGAATAGAATGGTGGCTGCATAGTTTGTACAGGATATTGTGTTTGTGGCACTCCCGCCCCGGGGCTCATATGATAACTTTCATGTGTTTTATGGGGATAGCCAGCCATAGCGTAATGTGGCACTGGTGGTGGTGTGGTGCGTGGTGGTGGAAAACTGGGTGGTGTAGCGGCATAATATATAGTTGGCATTCTCCGGCCATCAGTTGTATAGTAGGGTGGTGGTGTTGGTGGCGGATTCAAGTCCAAATTTACAATACCAATTTTGGTACGATTATGATGTCTGGCATCGGTGGCCAAAGGATTACCATCAAAATTTGTTGTATTTATATAAAATAACTTGTGCTTCATGTCGTGCTCCATTTGTTGTACATGTGGCGTGTGTTCGTGATGATGATGATGGCTACCATGATGCTGCTGTTGTTGTCCAGTTATTGTTGTCGTTGTTATTGGTTTTTTTGTTGGCAGTGCTAGAATTTGTGGCGGAGTTTCAGGATCTATTGGCTCCCAGGTACGTGTAAAGAGGTCATCGTCATTCGTTTGACTTGATGTTAGATCGTGTATGGTCGCATAACCAGATTCGGTTGAATAATGTTGGCGCGTTGAATCGGCATCGCCGCCACCAATCGGATGCAAGAGGAATGGTGATATAGTCATGGGCTTTTGCGCCACAACCGGTGGTGTACGTACACGCAACATATGATAACTGCTGTGCAGATCATTGCATTGATATTTACCCTCGTGGACTTTAAGTGCATGACGTACCGATAAGTGTGCTTCGATTTTGTGCTTTTCACCTTTTTTTCGGTTGATCGCGGAAGATGTTTTTTTATAAAATCCGGGCAGCAGTATTTTATTTGTTAGTTAAAATTTATGGGGCTTATTTGTTGTTTATTTTAGGGAAATTTTTCTTAGACCCTAGCTCCTATTTCTGCTAAGTTTGATATACTTTTTCAAAAATAAAGTTCTAAAGTTTGTAAGACTCTAAACTAGTTAAACACTAGAGAAGAACACTTCTATTAACTAGACCACGGACTAGCCTATGGGCCAGTGTAAACTTTGGACTATTTTAAAGTTAATTATATGAACTTGCCTATCGATTCGACTTTGGACTATTTAATGACATAGAATTTGGTCTAGTCTTCGGAATAGTCTATTGACAAGTCTATTTGATAGTCTAGGCTATGGATTAGTCAGTGCATTAGCATGTGGACTAGTTAATGGACTAAAATATAGACTAGTTTATGAGATAATCTATAGTCTAGTCTATAATCTATTGTCTCGTCTGTAGTCTAGTTTATAGTCTAGTATAGTCTATAGTTAAGTCTATGGTCTATAGTCAAGTCTATAGTGTAGTCTATAGTCTTGTTTATAGTCTAGTCTATAGTCAAGTCTATCGTTTAGCCTGTAGTCTAGTCTAAAGTCCAGTCTAAAGTTTAGTCTATAGTCTAGTCTAAAGTCTAGGCTATATAGACTAATCCGTGAAGTAGTCAAGTCTATAGTGCAGTATATAGTCTATAGTGTAGTCTATAGTCTAGTCTATAGTCCAGTCTATAGTCTAGTCTATAGTCTAGTCTATAAGTCTAGTCTATAGTCTAGTCTATAGTCTAGTCTACAGTCTAGTCTATAGTCTAGTCTATAGTCTAGTCTATAGTCTAGTCAATAGTCTAGTCAATAGTCTAGTCAATAGTCTAGTCCATAGTCTAGTTTATAGTTTAGTCAATAGTCTAGTCAATAGTCTAGTCAATAGTCTAGTCAATAGTCTAGTCTATAGTCTAGTCTATAGTCTAGTCCATAGTCTAGTCTATATAGTCTAATCGGTGAAGTATAGTTTAGTCTACAGTCTGGACTATAGTCTAAACTATAATCTGGACTATAGTCTAAACTATTATCTGGGCTATAGTCTGGACTGCAGTCTAAACTACAGTCTGGAGTATAGTGTGGACTATAGTCTGGATTATAATATAAACTAGACCAAAGAGTAGTACATATATTAGTCCAACGCCTAGATCATAATTTGGTCCATAGTCAAGTACATAGTCTGGATGATAGTCTAGGGTTTTCTGTTAAGAAATAAACCAATATATTGACTAATCTGTGAACTATTCAGCAAAAGTTTGAAATATTAGAATCACAAAACAAGTGTTGTCAACTCATAGTATTCCAGCTTTATCTTTTGCATATATGAAATCTAAACTCTTTAATAAAATATTAGAAAGTTTCATATTCCATTAATGTCATATTTTTTTGTTAGGACTATATGTAGGAGTTCCGGCCAAATACATTTGCTTAATGACTACATTTTTGCCATTTTCTGTTTTTCTAACTTATGTATATCATGACTATAAACGATTATATACGCTAAATAATTTTCCAGCAAACTTCTAACACCTACAAACCCAAATAAATATTTTTGAAACTTAAAAGTGTAAAGGCAAACCAAACCTTTTCTGACTTTATAACACTAATTTCTATAATAATAAACATTTAAGCAAAAAGGATACAATTTTTACTACACCCTCTTTTTTTTATGAAAAAACCTCTTAAAAAAGCAAACAGCTGATCAAATTGCTAAATTAAAGGAAGTCTGCCCTTTTTTTCTTTACAGTTAACATCTAAAACATTTTTCCCTTTTTTTTTGGTATATATTCCTGCGGTTGGTTACTCACCCTCAATAGCACTTTCGCTTAAGACATATGAATGTTCATCACGACCGTGTCGTAAATTATGACGTGTTATGGGTTCGTCATCTTTTAACCAAAATATTCGATCTGTTATGGGTATAATACATGTTATGGAAAAACGTTCACCCAGATTAACTGTGGAATCGCCATAATATAAAGCAGTTTCAAATTCAAATTCTGTCGAATCTTCAACATCATTTGCTAAATAATATTAAACACGTGTCGTAGAACAAGAAGAAGATGAAAAACAAAAACACACACAAATAGTGAATTATCGACCCGCGTTTATTAAAAAGAAGAAGAGTTGAGTTGTGGGAAGATTACAAAAGTTGGGTTGGTTTTTGTTGTTGTTGTTTAAATATTCCCCATTTCACGTAGAATTTGCGTGTTGTTAATAATTGGTAAATTGTTGTTGTCGATGTTTTTTTATTTATATAAATATTTATTTGTTGTATAGACCGTCATGATGTTGTTTTGTTTCAAAATTTTTGTAATTTATATATTTTTATTATTTCATTTGCCATTAAAATTCACACCATTTTAGTTTCGTGGTTGTTGTTGTCATTGTTTATAACAAAACGGTGTTGTAGCAAGTAGCGTTTTTTTTAGTAAGTTGTATTTGAAGTAATAGTGGCCAAAGTTAGTAGCAGTTGTTATTTAGATTAGAGTTGTATTTTAACGTTAGTGTTTTAAGGTTTGCATGTAGTTTTGTTTTTAAGATACATATAGATTATGTACAATATTTTTAATTAAAGTTAAATTGTTGTTGTTAAGTCTATATATATATTATTTATTTGTTTATATATAGATTTTAGATTTTTTTTATTTATTTTATATACAAACTTTATATAATGGATGTGGTTTTTATTATAAAAAAGGGAACGATAGCCAAAGGTTATAAAACTAGTCTATAATGTGAACTATGTCTGTAGTTTGGACTATAGTCTAGTCTATTGTCCGGACAATAGTCTAGTTTTTAGCCAGGACTATAATATAGACCATAGTCTGGACTATATTCTAGTCTATAGTCTGTACTATGATGTAGTTATAGTCTTTACTATAATCTAGGCAATAGTCTGGACTATAGTCTAGTCTATTGTCTGGACTATAGTCTAGTGTATAGTCTAGTCTATACTCTGGTCTATAGTCTAGTCTATAGTCTGGTCTATTGTCTGGTCTATAGTCTGGTCTATAGTCTGATCTATAGTCTGTTCTATAGTCTGGACTTACTTTAGTCTATAGTCTGGACTATAGTCTAGTCTATAGTCTGGACTATAGTCTAGTCTATAGTCTGGACTATAGTCTAGTCTATAGTCTGGACTATAGTCTGGACTATAGTCTGGACTATAGTCTAGTCTATAGTCTGGACTATAGTCTGGACTATAGTATAGTCTAGTCTGAACTATAGTCTAGTCTATAGTCTGGACAATAGTCTAGTTTTTAGCCAGGACTATAATATAGGCCATTATCTGGACTATATTCTAGTCTATAGTCTGGACTATACTCTAGTCTATAGTCTGTAATATAGTCTAGTCTATAGTCTAGACTATAGTCTGGACTATAGTATAGTCTAGTCTGAACTATAGTCTAGTCTATAGTCTGGACAATAGTCTAGTTTTTAGCCAGGACTATAATATAGGCCATAGTCTGGACTATAATCTAGGCTAGTCTGGACTATAGTCCAGTCTATTGTCTGAACTATAGTCTAGTCGATAGTCTAGACTATAGTCTAGTCTATAGTCTGGACTATAGTATGGTCTATAGTCTGGACTATAGTATGGTCTATAGTCTGGACTATAGTCTAGTCTATAGTCCGGACTATACTCTAGTCTATAGTCTGGACTATAATATAGTCTATATTCTGGACTACAGTCTAGTCTATATTCTGGGCTATAGTCTGGACAATAGTCTAGTTTTTATCCAGGACTATAATATAGGCCATTATCTGGACTATATTCTAGTCTATAGTCTGGACTATACTCTAGTCTATAGTCTGAACTATAGTCTAGTCTATAGTCTGGACTATATTCTAGTCTATAGTCTGGACTATAAACCAGTCTTGAATTTGGATTATAGAGTAGTTTATAGTCTGGACAGTATTGGCAATAGTCTACAGTCTGAAATATATGATCTAGTCTATTATCTGGAATATAGCTTTCTGTAGTATATAGTTTAAATTAGAGTTTAGTCTATAATCTAGAATGTCATATATTCTACCGTCTGGTCTATAGTACAGTCTATAGTCTAGTCTATTGTCAGGACTATAGTTTAGTCTATTGGACTTAAAACTGTATTATAGTTAGTCTGGGCTACAGTCTAGTCTACAGCCAACTCTGTATGTCCTGGACTACAGTGTAGTCTTTAGTCTTAGCTATAGTCTATATTATAATCTACTCATCTCTACTCTGAACTATAATACAGGCAATAACCTGTACTATCTATGGACTTCTTAGCAACTTGGCTATACTTCCCCTTTACAAATATTATTTACCATAAATATAAAATTTGTCTTTTTTCTTTTCAACAGAAAAATAGCCATAAATAATATTGAAACAGAAAGAAAATCAATAATAAAGAAATAACCATAATTATAGAAGAAATTTTTTATAAAAGAAAAAAACTAAATAAAACAACAACTAAAAATATAGTTATTAAACAATTAAAAATTCACAACAAAAACTAACAAAAGAACCAGAATATGAAGTAAAAATCATAAAAAAACACAACATAAAAAAATAATTACCATAATGCAAAATTAAAAAACATTTCATTAAATATTAAACATAAAAATTATCATGATATTTAAATGCAGTTTTTATTTTTTTTTTTACTAATTTTCGTTTAAATAGTTGTTTGGTTGTAATGATGGGTTTATTTTATAAAAAGAAATTTAGTTTAAAGGTTTTTTTTTTTGTTTTTTTTTTTTTTTTTGTAATAATTTCAGCTCCAAGTTGAATGTAATAAAAATGTTTTGATAAAATAGTTTGTTTTTTTGTATAAATTTGAAATTAATGATAAAATATTAAAAATTAAAAAGTAAATAAAAAAATTAAATTTGTTTTATTTTAAAGAAATAATTTACAAAATAAGCAAATAATATAGAGAAAATTAGGAAGAAATAATAAAGAATTAAATTAAAATAAATATTTAATTTAAATACAACTATTGATAAAAATAAACGTAAGATATTAAACTTATAAATGTATCAATTAAATATTTTATATAATATGTTAAAAAGTTTTAAATATTTTTAAGTAAAAAACATAAAAAAGTTAACCACACTGTACTTGTTATGTATAATTTAAAATTTCTTTAAATTTAACAACATATTGATTATTTAAATTAATTATTTGTTATTCTTTTTTATTAGAATTGTTTAAAACATTTGAACAGTAATCAAATTTGATGTGTTGCTAGTCTAGAGTGTAGTCTAGAGTGTAGTCTATAGTCTAGTCTATAGTCTAGTCTATAGACTAATCTATAGTCTAGTCTATAGACTAATCTATAGTCTAGTCTATAGTCTAGTCTATAGTCTAGTCTATAGTCTAGTCTATAGTCTAGTCTATAGTCTAGTCTATAGTCTAGTCTATAGTCTAGTCTATAGTCTAGTCTATAGTCTAGTCTATAGTCTAGTCTATAGTCTAGTCTATAGTCTAGTCTATAGTCTAGTCTATAGTCTAGTCTATAGTCTAGTCTATAGTCTAGTCTATAGTCTAGTCTATAGTCTAGTCTATAGTCTAGTCTATAGTCTAGTCTATAGTCTAGTCTATAGTCTAGTCTATAGTCTAGTCTATAGTCTAGTCTATAGTCTAGTCTATAGTCTAGTCTATAGTCTAGTCTATAGTCTAGTCTATAGTCTAGTCTATAGTCTAGTCTATAGTCTAGTCTATAGTCTAGTCTATAGTCTAGTCTATAGTCTAGTCTATAGTCTAGTCTATAGTCTAGTCTATAGTCTAGTCTATAGTCTAGTCTATAGTCTAGTCTATAGTCTAGTCTATAGTCTAGTCTATAGTCTAGTCTATAGTCTAGTCTATAGTCTAGTCTATAGTCTAGTCTATAGTCTAGTCTATAGTCTAGTCTATAGTCTAGTCTATAGTCTAGTCTATAGTCTAGTCTATAGTCTAGTCTATAGTCTAGTCTATAGTCTAGTCTATAGTCTAGTCTATAGTCTAGTCTATAGTCTAGTCTATAGTCTAGTCTATAGTCTAGTCTATAGTCTAGTCTATAGTCTAGTCTATAGTCTAGTCTATAGTCTAGTCTATATTCTAGTCTATAGTCTAGTCTATATTCTAGTCTATAGTGTAGTCTATAGTCTAGTCTATAGTCTAGTCTATAGTCTAGTCTGTAGTCTAGTCTATAGTCTAGTCTATAGTCTAGTCTATAGTCTAGTCTATAGTCTAGTCTGTAGTCTAGTCTATAGTCTAGTCTATAGTCTAGTCTATAGTCTAGTCCAACGGTTCCCAAAAGGGGGTCCGCGGACCCCTAGTGGTCCGTAGCAAAATCCTAGGGGGTCCGCGAAGGCGAACGAAAAAAATCATGAATAAAAAATATTCTCTATATGTTACAAAATATTAAAAATATCTCCAAATTTTTCATAAATACTAAAATACACAATTTTTATTCAATAATCCCAGATTTGTTGGTGACTCTTTGAATTTTATTGTTTCGGTCGTTTATCAGGATGAAGCTAGGCGCTACAAAGTTAGGTCACATTTCATAATATTTTTTTAAATTGTAAACAAAAGTGTTAATCTAGTTAATTTTAAATATAAATATTCCATTCCAACGTGATACACAGATTTTAACTTCATTTTGTTGTCCAATATTATTAAATCAACATCAGAAAATTCATAGCGTTTTGCGTAAATAGTCAAAACCACGCAGTAAAATAATTTAATTCGTAGGTATTTTAAAATTCAAATTTAAGATCCAAATTCACAGTACATTCGCAAAGAGTTCAGGTCATATTTTATGTGGGTAACGCATTCCGCAACAACATCGAAGAAGTCTAACTTTCACATATTTTCCCGAAAACTTAGCTTACATACTCAGCTCACTCCTATGCAATCGCAAAAAAATTTAGAAACATGACTCTTTAAGCACATGTCGACAATACTTGTTAAAGAAACCTTTTCTCTACCTTGACGAGAAATGAACATGAAAGCTCTCACGATCATACAATTAAACATCATGTTAGAAGTCATTCTATATTTAAAACCATGAAATTGAAAACATCTCCGAAATACTAAATGTTCTCAATGTA